AACAAAACGGAACTTTCGAAACATATTTGGAAATTAAAAGAAAACAATCAGGATTATACCATCAAATGGTCAATTTTAAAACACGCTATTTCGTACACAGGGGATCAAAACGCTGCAATTTATGTTTGGAAGAAAAATTTTGCATTTTGAAAGACATAAACAAAGACAATTTACTCAATAAAAGAAGCGAAATTTTCGGCAAATGTCGTCACAAAAACCGGTTTCGAGTAAACAAGGTCATTAACAAAACCTAATGACCCAAGCATGCATTGTTTCACCTAAGCATTGTTTCGCCTACACGCATTCCGCACATTCTTTCGATAGCATAAAAGCAACCTACAATTTCGAAATTATTCACCACCTGATGATTCCTATACGGATGAAGCAGACTGTTGTGGTTTTTTGAGGTAAAACGAATATATATATATATATATATATATATATGTATATATATATATATATATATATATATATATATATATATATATATATATATATATATATATATATATTTATCACATATTTATCACATACTTGTACCTTTATCAGGTAGGAAACAGCGGGACATAAAAACGATATCGTCCCGGATATCGTTTTTTGTCCCGGATATCGTTTTTTGTCCCGGATATCGTTTTTTGTCCCACTAAATTTCGCGCCTTGTCAAAACAAAGATGGCCGACTCGAGGTTCGTGTTGGTTGATGTAGACAGTTTATCGAAGAAAACAAGAACGATAATACAAAACGAAAGACTTAAATTGTATATTATTTATATGAATGGTCTATTTATTTTCTAAAATCATATTTGTTCAGTAAATGATGAATTGTTTTGAATTGCAAAATGATCCTATTTTTTCAAAACTGTTTACTTTTGGGTGTCAAACCCTGATAAAGGTACAAGTATATAATAAATAGGTTATCGTACTCGGGATTCGGTGATATCAGTTTTATCGCTCTCGGGACGATATCACAATTGTCCCTCGCTGGCTGCGCTCGCTCGTGACAATTGTGATATCATCCCTCGAGCGATAAAACTGATATCACCTCATCCCTTATATGATAACCTATATATATATATATATATATATATATATATAATATATAATATATAATATATAATATATATATATATAATATATAATATATATATATATAATATATAATATATAATATATATATAATATATATAATTTTTTTATGTTTCATCACCCATTAGGAGGAGGTATTAATGAAGATAACTTAGCAGAGATATTACAAGAAACTGGGGCGAGAGAATTTCACGGCTCTGCCAGAGCTCATGTTACTTCTCAAATGAAATATCACAATACCTGTGTTTCAATGGGAAGGACTGGGGAGGAATATGGACATATGGTAGCCAGTTTGGAGAGGATAAAACGTCTGACAATGATAGCAAAGGATTTTATACAGTAAGTCCACTGAATTTCCCCCTTGTCCCGCCTGCAAGGCCGAAGGCGGCGGGCGAGGGTGGTAACCTCCGACCCGATACTAATTAGGGGTGCACCGGATTTCAAATCCGGCCGGAATTCCGGCCGGATTTAACGAATTTTCCGGCATCCGGCTTCCGGCCGGATTTGGAGAAAATCCGGCCGGATTTAAATTTCTGTTTTCACCTTAAAAGCTTCACCAAGAATGGGATAAACCATCAATTTGGCAGCTTTAAAGTTTAAAAAACACTTATATTATTATAAAATATTAAGTTATTAACAAAAAGATATTTAAAAAAGGTTTAAACACAATCAAAGAACTAAACTGACACTAACTAAAAATAGTAAAAAGCATAAACCACCATTTTGATTACTGAATTATCACAATTTAGCCCCAATTGTCCCCATTACCGGTTTATCTCAAATCCGGCCGGAATTCCGGCCGGAATTTTTGTCCAAGTCCGGTAAATCCGGTTCCGGCCGGATTTGAAAATTCCAAATCCGGTGCACCCCTAATACTAATAACGTGCAAGCGATTAACAATATATGGAGTGTCTCAAGAGTTACTGCATGGAGAGCTTTAGCAGCAACTACGAGTACAAGATTTGACCGCGTGCGTCCTGGCGCGAGGAAATCGTAGTCGTTCTTGTTTCCATTCAAATATTGCTTTATCATTATTTATCGGACGTTCTCTGACTTAGTGTCTAATGTCTATAGCCTTCGACGGGTGTATACAAATGATTCTATAAAGGACGCTAAACTTAAGTAGGTGAAATCTGAGAATATCTATGCTATGTTACAAATGGGGAATGTGAATATTTAATTAATGTTTCTTGAGTTCCTTTGTTAAATGTATTGTGTATTGTGCTGGAAGCGTATTAGAGTTATTATCAGCTTCGTCTGTTAGTGCAGTGTGCGAGGACTCTAAGGTTTTAAGGTTCCTATGATTTCCCTTGTCTGCCACTTTGGCATTGGCAAAGTCAATTACATGATCTTGAGTTCATGCGTGTTTTGCGACGTTCGACCCCTTCTTGCTTTGTTTCATATTCCTTATGTGTTCGGACTTTTTCGTCTTCAGGGATCTTCTTGTTTCGCCTATGTAGCTCCAACTGCAATCTTGACAGTGTCTGGTAAACCACGTTATTTTGTTCTTCTATTGGTGGTTTCTGTTTTGCAGATGGGAACTGGCCCCCCTTAACTAACCCCCGACTAAGCCCCCCTTACAAAAATTCCACATGATTTCACATGTGTGAAATTTCACATGTGAATTTGGAACATGTGAAGTTTCACATGTGAAATTTCACATGTGAAACACATAATTTCACATGTGAAAAATCACATGTTCCAAATTCACATGTTCCAAATTCACATGTGAAATTTCACATGTGAAACTTCACATGTGAAACATATAATTTCACATGTGTTCACATGTGAAAAATCACATGTTCCAAATTCACATGTTCCAAACTTCACATGTGAAACACATAATTTCATATGATCACATGTTCCAAATACACATGCGAAATATCCCATGTTCCAGTTTCACATGTAAAATTATGCAAAGCTTCAATGCATATTTAAACCTGTCAAACAGTGAAATACTGTATAGTCCGCGTGTGGTGATCTGATATCGTTCACTTTCATAAAGCATGTCTTAGATCTGAAATATTTTTACGGGAACTAACACTTTCGAACACGCTGAGTTCAAATCCGAAAAGTTCCCACTCCGTTATAGGCCCGCAGTTTTTTCACAAAATGCTATTTTATCTTCACTAATTTCACAACAAATTGTTCATTGTTCAACGATACGGATCGATGACGATACACGATTAGGTCACTCAAAAGACCAATTTCTATTAACCATTATTCCTTTTAACAAAAGATCGGTTTTGCTCGAATCATTTTGATTTATGCAATCTTATGCGTGTTGGACGCAAACAACATATCTTGTCTACAACTTTGAGAAGGTACAGATAACGCTTTCTAAAATCCTCAGTTCTAGAGATATTTCTATAAAATCACAAGGACATTAATGCGAAGACTTTTAGCTATGTCACTTGCCTGAAAAATAACTCTTTTAACGCGATCAAGTTATTTAAAACAAAAGTAACGCGAAGCCAACGTAACGGCAAAGACAGCGCTAAAATGAAATATTGTCGAATGGTTGCTGCTAGAAGACTTAGGACAGGATCAATCGTAAATAACCTTAAACTATGAGAATAAATGTTCACATCAAAGACAAATATCAGTCCCAAAGTATAAAATATGCTCTGTAAACTTACCACAAAGTGGAGAAATGTGTGCATGAGCTGTTTATTTGATGATTTCAACGTATATAGAAGCCCTCTTTCCAATAATATTCGCTTATCACACAGTATAACACCAACTGATGTAATAGTTCAAATGCAATGATAAGTTAATCTTGAATTACGTCTCGGAAACCGTGTTGGAAATTTCAATGCTGATCCATTACATACAGATTACCGTTTTATATCTTTGTATAAAACATTTTGATCGCATGTAAGCAATTATTTCTCATCCCAGAGACATAGCCCAAAGACTTGACATTAACGTCCTTGTGATTTTATAGAGATAGATCCAGAACTAAGGATTTTAGAAGGAATTATCTGTACCTTCTCAAAGTTGTAGACAAAATATATTGTTTACGTCCAACACGCATAAGATTGCATAACTCAAAATGATTCGAGCAAAATCGGTCTTTTGTTAAAAGGAAGAATGGTTAATAGAAATTGGTCCTTTTGAGTGACATAATCGTGTATCGTCATCGATCCATGTCGTTGAACAATGTAAAAATTTGCTTTGAAATTGGTGAAGATAAAATAGCATTTTGTGAAAAAAACTGCGGGTCTACGGAGTGGGAGCTTTTCGGATTTGAACTCAGCGTGTTCGAAAGTGTTAGGCACTTTTCAAGGTCACAACACACGGACTAGTATATATAGGAAGTTTAAATAATGTATTTATACAGTTAATTTCTACAAATGTTTAGCTACCATACAAAATAATTTATAATAAGGAAAAACTTAGCAGTTCAAACGTCTTCTGCAATTTTTCTTCTTTTCGTATCAGCATTTCTTTTGTCTTTGCACTTTTGGGCCATGGCGGTTTTCACTGATGAAGCTGTTGCTCCCGCAAAACGTTTAGTCACATGAGCTATAAGAAAGGAATACAAGACTATCATTAGCTCTACATATTTCATGTACTGGAACTCCACAGTCAGTTAACATTACAGTATATAGCACTTCACAGTTCACATGCAGCCGAATATGAGCAATTCCCTCCTGTCCAACCTATAAACTTTGCACCTTATTACGAATGAGAGAACCTACTGTAGTAGCACAACCCAACCCTTGGTTGAAGTTGGTTCTAGTATTATCATAATTGATAACCCTTGGTTCATATGGCTTTTACCCTGACTCGTCCCCATTAATGTATTTTCTGTGCAGGCGACACATGGCAAATTGGAAAGTGCTGCAAGGCTATCTTCTCAACAGGTAAAACTGTAAAATTTGCTGGCATTAGACAGAGTAATATAAAGTAGAGCATATTGCCAGTGAATGGGTTAACAAAAGAAATATGCAGATAGGATTTGTTATAGCTATAGCTTCAAAATGATATATATATAATATGTATATATAGGATCATTGATTTTTTCCAACAAATTAAATCAATGTAAATATGTTGATCATTAAAATATTCATAAAAAACAATTCGGCTCCCTAAGGGTTAATACTTGTCAGTGATATCACTGAAACAAGTAGCACTCTTCTCCAATATAACTAAGGTGAAATCATAATCTTATGAATCTATGAATGTTTTCTGGAACGAGCCAATAGCATATTAAATCACAAATACCAACAACCAGTAGGCCTAGCAGATACCTCGCAAAATATTGGGGGTGCTGTTGAGATTTCTGTTAAAAATCATCTGACATTGGGTCATTCCAGAGAACATCGATACCTCCCCCATGAAGGAAATTGGAAGTTAACCCCCTATCTCCTTCGAAATTCGAATGTCCTAATACACTTACTATTATCAGAAACAATTTTTTCTCCCCTCCCCTCTGTGCCCAGGGGAGAGTGGATCTTTTCTAGAACGACCCATCAGACAGAGTAAAACAATAAAGTTGTGGCACAATGCAGCTTATGCCATGTCCGGCCTAGTGTAATATCCAGTTAACACCCCCATCTTAACGGCCTGCCAAGGTTCTTGAGAAGTATTCCTGTTTTGTTGGGTTAATATGGCCATGTGTCTAGTGAAACCATTAAGTTGTATTGTACCCTTGTGTGTCCTACTTCCTTATTTTACTGTCTTTTAAATGCCAGATTATTGTACTCTGTCTAATGCCAGACCATTTTACTCATCAAGGCTAAGTGGATCATCAAGTACATGCTGGTGCATACGCTTGTAATTAATGGTTATTAGTTATTTATAAGTTAATTCAATCTAGCTTTGGATGCACATGTAAAAAGAATACTAGACAATAAGTTTTATGCCGTTCTAAGCCTAGACTGTTTTTATAAAGTCTGCAGTAATTATCCAATCATTTGATCCATTTAATTATAATTAAATTGCTTTTTTAAATAATTATTACAAAGTGGCTATATCTTCAGGCCCGTAAACAAACTTCGCCAGGCTATATTTATGGCACTCTCATTCTTAGTCCCCACACTGGTTGTATTTATTGTTAAAGTCAAATTAAAACAAAACTAACCCTAACCTCTACCCCTAAAAAATAAAGCTAATCAGAAAGACATGTTTAGTTAAGGTCAACAAAAACCTGTCCCAACTCGGGTTCGAACCACAGACTACAGCACAGCAGCCATCTGCCTAACCTTCTGATCTATTTTTGAGCTCGCTGAAATCCTTCATAAACAATAAATTTTATAGTGCTGGTTTAGTACATAAGAGTCAAGAGTGCTGTAAGTATAGCCTGGCAAAGTCTG